TCAGGATACTAATAAGGGCGAACATTCATCAGTTCATGAATCTGTTGAAAATGAATTTGGAGATAAAGAAGTAAATAATAATTTGGATGATTTCTCTGGTGGTGTTTGTGGAGAGAAAGTTTTGAGTGACAGTAATGCCTTTTTGAGTGATGATCCGACTCCCCTGGATATAGTTGAGCCAAGGGGTGTCAAGCGTTCCAGCGAACAGAATGAATTGGGCGATAAAAATTTTTGTACAATTACTGTACCCAGTGATGATGAAACTTCACTGGCAGGAAATGGATCGTCAAATATGGAAGAAGTTCCCAAGGCAGAATTTCAAGTGGTCTCTTCTAGTTCAGATTCTGATACAGATGATTCCGATACTAATATCAATGTCAACACAAGGTACACTAGTTTCACAATTGAACTCTCACTGGCTCATAGAAGGCAAGAAAACATGTCAATTCTCCCTATTGTTTTGTTCGATTGGAAAGGTTTGTTTAAGAAATGAAAAATCTGCCCAGTGAAATCCCCTTTTTTCTCTAATTGTTTGATTCTTGCCTCTATCATTCTCAATGGACTATCCCTGTTCCTGGAACTGGGATTTCTGTCTGATCTATCATTCAGTTAAATTTGATTGTATCTTCCTTCTGATTCAGCACTAGGAAGAGACGTAAAAAGAAAATCCGAAGGATCCTTGACGATGCTGAATTGGGGGAAGAGACTAAGAAGAAAATTGCAATTGAAAAGGTAAACTCACCTCCTTCATTGTATACATACTTCCAGTAGTTTAACATGCCTATATTTACAGGAACGTCAGGAGCGGCTGAAATCTTTGGAAGCACGGTTTTCAACCAAGTCTGTTGCTATGAGGTCCGCAGTCAGCAATCGGAGTTCATTTGATGGCACTGGTGTGGAAATGCTTGGTGATGTTTCTGCAGGGTACATAATTAATGTGGTGAGAGAGGAAGGTGAAGATCCAATAAAAATCCCACCGAGCATCTCGATGAAATTAAAACCCCATCAGGCATGCCCACTATTACCTTATTCTTTTATCATTACATTTACTGCATATTTGGCCTTTGAACATGGATGTTAGAGTTCTTAAGAATTGATTAAGTTGGTGCTCGTGACTATGTTTTGATTGTAGAATCTGCAGTAAGTTACTTGATCTTTGCATAAAACTTGAAGAATTTATCCCTGATCATTAAAACAGTTGTACAATTTAAGATGCCGCTACTGCATATATTTTTCTTTATTTTTTTTCCATAAAATTAGATAATTTGTGCTTGTGACTACGTTTCGATTGTAGAATCTGCAGTAAGTTACTTGATAAATGCATTGATGGTGTGTTTGGGTTTGGCTTTAACAATTGGGTAGCAATAAGTTTATTGTTTTGCTACTAGAATGCATATTTACATGCATGTTTAATTGTCCCTAAGAAGTTAATATTACCTCAAATTACGATTTAGTTGATTGATGGATGTTACTAATTTATAAGGTAAATTAATAACTAATAAACTTATCATGCGTCTGTTTCCTTTCACTTCTGCTGACCTACTTTTGTTGAATATGTTCTCTTTTTGTTTGTGTTCTTTAACTTCATTTGGTTATTGTTACTCATGAAGTGAGTTTGTAAGCCTATTATCTTGTATACCTCAGATTCAAGGGATTCGGTTTATGTGGGAAAATATTATCCAATCCGTCCGGAAAGTGAAGTCTGGTGATAAAGGGCTTGGTTGCATTCTCGCCCATACTATGGGATTGGGTAAAACTTTTCAGGTAGCACTTCTTAATGAGACTGGGCAAAACTGCCTGTTCCGTTTCATTAATGTGACCAACTATGTAGTTATCCACTTTAATGAACTTATCGAAACGAAAGTTTTGTTGAGATGGATCACACTTTCTCGTATGTTCTAAGATGCTAAATTGATTAGCATTTGTCAAATACCAATATGTGCTGGATAATTTAGAATAAACAGACAATCCAAATGAATACTCTCCACGTTTCAGATTAACCAAATCCGAAAATTATGGTGTATAAATTGCTGCCAGTGGGAACAACAACGGCCCACACAGTTTCATTTCTCCTGCAATGCCCTTGAGAAATGAACTTCTTTCCCAAGACTTCTTTAGTTCCACTGTCTGCTTCATTTAATTTTACTCATTTGCCTTACTTTGAGAATCCGATGCATGTCAGATATACATATATATATATATATATATATATATATATATATATATATAGGGATTGGTTCCAATGCATCCACTTATTTAAGATTTGGTACATCATGTGTGGCCAAGATTTACTCTTTTCTTTTTATTATTTTAATTATTTACATATTATTTTGACCCGTTGACTCCGGCATTGACCGTTGACTTCTGGCGTTGACCGTTTACTTCCGGCGTTGGCCGTTGACAACTAACCTTCCAACTAGGTTAGTTCTCTGTAGTTGCTAGTTTAGTTCTCTGTAGTTGCTAGGTTAGTTCTCTGTAGTTGCTAGGTTAGTTGTATGTAGTTGCTAGGATAGTTCTCTGTAGTTGCTGCTAGGTTAGTTCTCTGTAGTTGCTAGGTTAGGTCTATGTAGTTGCTAAGTTAGTTCTTTGTAATTGCTAGGTTAGTTCTCTGTAATTGTTAGGTTAGTTCTCTGTAGTTGCTAGGTTAGTTCTCTATAGTTGCTAAGTTAGTTCTCTGTAGTTGCTAAGTTAGTAGTTGTTAGGTTAGTTCTCTGTAGTTGCTAGGTAAGTTCTCAATAGTTGCTAAGTTAGTAGTTGCTAGGTTAGTTTTCTGTAGTTGCTAGGTTAGTAGTAGCTAGGTTAGTTATCTGTAGTTGCAAGGTTAGTTCTCTGTAGTTGCTAGGTTAGTTGTCTGTAGTTGCTAAGACCTGGGCGCATTTAAAGAGCTGGACGCATTTTAAGACCTGGACGCATTTGATCCGCTCCCTATATATATATATGTTTGAGGTCACACAGTATATCTGCATAGTCTCATTTCATTTGGTTGATGGTTTGAAGGCAAGTTCTTCTTTTCAATTAACAAAATAAAGTTGATATTTTTTACTGGAGAATCTGGCAGAATGTTCTCAAATTTGAATTTTCTAGTTTTTACACATTTCCTAAAGATATAGACTTCAGTCTGTTCAAACATCTGTTATTTTCTGATCATACAGAAGCCTATGCCATTATTTGTACTATACTTTGGAAACTAGACTTGTACGGATTTAAATTAAACATTAACTTATTTAGCTCAAATTATACCATGTGAAATTCCAATTATACTTTCTTTTCTTTTATGCTTACTCCTTGTTATCTTTTTCTTATATATCCTCTGCAAGTGTTAAATCTTATATCTCAAGTCAGCTTATGCAATGAATCAGAAGCCCATTTGATGTACTGATTCTCTATGGAATATAAAACAAGCTTACGGTATACAGATAAAAGTATTCTTTCTGATCTCCTATGCAGTTCTATACCTGATTCTCTTTCTGTTCAATGAGGCAGAAGCAATAACTGCCTACGAACTCTATGAATTCTGGAGTTTGTGACATCTTTTTCAGATGCTCATGTTTAGTTAATAAGAATGTTTTCAATGAAAATGTTGATGGTGAATTACGAAGGTTTATTGTTAAAGACATCTAAACAGAAGTGATGAACAGCAGAATACTATTCTGGACGAAATGACGTTCCATTCTCAGCAGAATTTTTCTGCGAAGAAGATGAACTTGCCCAACAGCAAAAACTGTTACAATAGTATCACTGCCCACCCTACCTAGCCTCTACCAGTTAGCATCCTATATTTATATTCAATTATTACAATTGTAGGATGTAAAATATAAAATATAATCAAGAATATAAACAGCTTGAAATCTTGCATCTAAAATTCTGGTTAGTAAGTATCAGTTTCTTCTTTTTTTTTTTCTCCCCTATAGTTGCGAGGTTATTCATTCCTCTTGAATATCCTACCCAATACCCATGATTTATGCCTTGTATCAGTCTTTATCAGAATATGTCAGAAATACTGATCTTTGTAATCACTTAAATTCAAATAAAAATACAGGTCATTGCTTTTCTTTACACTGCTATGAGAGGTGCAGACCTAGGTTTAAGAACTGCACTCATTGTGACTCCAGTGAGTGTTCTACACAATTGGCGACATGAGTTTATGAAATGGAGACCATCTGAGCTAAAGGCTCTTCGTATCTTCATGCTCGAAGATGTTCCAAGGTTTGCCATTTGTGTTGTTTGCTTAATTATCTCAACCAATATGTTATTGATTCTAGTCTACTGCTAATGTAATCCATAAGGCAAGTCCTTTCACTAGTTTTCCTTGATATAATACCTACAGAATCGTTTTTCAGGGAGAAAAGGGTTGCCTTACTGATGAAGTGGAGAATTAAAGGTGGTGTCTTCTTAATTGGATATAGCGCCTTCCGGAATTTGTCCCTAGGAAAGTATGTTAAGGACCGAGACATGGCTCGGGAAATTAGTCATTTACTTCAGGTGATTGTCTCATTTTTGAAAATGAATCTACTAGAGAAAAGTGTATGCCAAAACAAGTTGTATTATCTAAATTTTGGTGACCTTATTTTGTCCTTTTGATTTCCTTTATTGTGAATAACTGGATTTATAGGCGAGTTTGTTAAATTGTAGTGTCATCTTACATTTCACTAGGGGGAAATGAAATGTAAGAGTGTCTTTCTCCTGTTGCCTTCTGTTCTTGCCTGCTTTACTGAATTCTTTTTGCTATGAGAGAGTTTCACCTCATAATTGTGTTCTTTTTCGCTCTAATAGTGACAATGTTTATTTGTCGCAGGAGGGACCGGATATCCTAGTGTGTGATGAGGCACACATTATCAAAAACACCAGGGCTGATACAACCCAGGCTTTGAAACTAGTGAAGTGCCAGAGAAGGATTGCACTAACTGGATCACCTCTTCAGAACAATCTGATGGAATACTATTGTGTATGAATCTAAATGCATTTGTTGGATATAATGTATTTTGTAACCCACTATGTGACGTGTACTGAATTTATTCTCTTACAGATGGTTGATTTTGTTAGAGAAGGATTTCTTGGTAGCAGCCATGAGTTTAGGAACCGGTAGGAATTTCGAGCTTTCATTCTTCTAGTGAATTATGCTTAGTGTTAATTCCCGTTTTGTCTAATCACCCTTTTTGCTGTGCTGCAGTTTCCAAAATCCAATAGAAAATGGTCAACATGCCAATTCTACTGCAGAAGATGTGAAAATAATGAATCAAAGATCTCATATTCTGTACGAACAATTAAAAGGATTTGTTCAAAGGATGGACATGAATGTGGTTAAAAAGGATTTACCTCCCAAAACTGTGTTTGTTATCACTGTGAAGCTATCCCCATTGCAGAGAAAACTCTATAAGAGATTTCTTGACGTTCATGGTTTCACAAAGGACAAGATATCTGGTGAAAAGATTATTAAGAGATCTTTTTTCGCAGGGTACCAGGCATTAGCACAGGTATGTAATATTGTTTGTAACTGAAACAAAATTACCGCATTGTTTTCCTTTCTGAAATGAGGCAACCATCAAAATTGGTTTTTATGGGAATGTAGTTGAAACTGTATGATTTGAAATATTATTTTCCTGGAAAGCATCTAATATGTTCCTGATTGTTGAGTTTGGTTTTCTATGCCGTTATATTAATGAAAAATAACGTAATCCCTTGAGTCGGCTTTTGGCTGAACCTTGTCAGTCATTGAGCCGTGCTAGCTAACTTCCCCCTGTCAAATGCAGATTGTCTTTACTATTAATTTTCTTCCAATTTGTTAAGCATCAAGTAGATGATCAGATCTTATTTTATTTAATATTTACTTGCGGGTTGGGCTCGCAGGGTTAGAATACCCAGTTGGGTTATAATAAGGTTTATGGATCTATTTAAGTAGAGTATCAGTTGTCACTAGGTTTATCTTTGGTTGAACTGAGATTGTCGGCAATAGGATTTGGTGGAAAGTTTCTTTCCGATTCAGTGCTTAGGACAGGCTTTGCTTGCTAAAATGGTTCTTTTCTTTTCAATTTAATTAAATATATTTCAGTTTTGTTCTTTTCGTAAACCCTTGACTCAATCAACTGGTCCGACCTGCCATTTGTGCGTCCAATGGAAAAGACTATAGAGAAGGGTGTTGTCTCATTATAGGCAACTTACTGTTTAGACCGTATGATGGCAAAACTAGATCGACTTGAAGAGTTGTTGCAACTGCTTCATGAGAAAGAGTTGGTGCAGTTAAGATTCGGGATGTCTTTTGAAGTAATCTTCAGCCTTGAGGACAAGGCTGTTTTTAAAAGGCCTGAGCGTTGTTACGCGCAATTAGAAGAGATCTTATGCTGTTTGATAATTAATTGGGCTTTGGGCACGTATGGATAGAATCCCATTATGGGGCTACGAATCTATATAAGTGGATTCTCGGTTGTTATCTAAGTTAGGGTTGCATTGAGGTTGTCAGCTTTTAGGCTTGGGAGAGAAGTTTCTTCATGATTCTGCGCTTGGGCTCGGAACATGCTTGGCCTGTTAGAAATTGTTTCTTTTTCAATTTAATTAAATATAATTTAGTTTTGTACTTTTCATAAATCCTTGACTTGGACATCAAGTTTGCAACTAGTGGCTTGTATTTCAATATGTATATCATAATATTTCGATGTGTTGCAAATACCATCATGGTGTATTATTTCTCTTGAGGAGTTTAATTTATTGGAGTTATTGTTCTTATGGTGGTGGTATAAGTACAAATATTATATGGTTCTCTGTGTAGATATGGAATCATCCTGGAATTTTGCAACTGAGGAAAGAAAACAAAGACTCTGCAAAATGTGAAGATGTAGAAGCATATGACAGCTCAAACGATGAAATTGTTGACTACAATGTGATCTCTGGAGGTAAGATGCGTCATAGTCCTCTTGGAAGTCATTTGTCAGTGTTTATGTCTTAATTCGTCATCTATGGCAAATTTTCATCTATAGCAAAACTGGAAAATTGATCAGCCTTTTTTCTGAAGTGTCTTAAGCAGTTTTGGGAAAGTTTTCTGCTGTGAGAATGATGTATCCTTCAGTGGCGATTGGATATATAAAATTTTCAATTTTGCATGGAGGGAACTTTCTTTCTCCATTTAGATTATGATTGGATACAACAAACTATTCTTTTCATCTCACTTTCTCTCAATCTCAACACAATTAGAAATAAAAATCAACCATCAATGCACATTTCCCATAAAAAAACTATTCTTTTCATCTCACTTTCTCTCAATCTCAACACAATTAGAAATAAAAATCAACCATCAATGCACATTTCCCATAAAAAACCACTATTCCCCCACTCACATTTATAACTACCAATCAATACCAATTAAATTTTACTATTAAATATCATATCAACTTTAATCATTACATCTAAAAATGTTTCATTTGTCATCCAATTTTTTGCCCTGCCTTTCTATTTCCCTTGTCCAGGATTTCCATAGAATTGTTATATCCAAATGCCATCTCTTCACATTCCCATTCCTTTATATTCTTGTACTTATGGTTTCAAATCCACTTATTCACTGTATTCAATTGTACTCTACCTGTGCCGCTTGCAGAGAAGTTGATAAATCCACCCCGGAAAAATGATAATGGATTTCTTCGTGAGGTGCGTGTGAACATCCTTCTCTGAAGCAAAGTTACTTGATCAGTTTCTTGATATGATAACTTAGAGTCCATGAATTTTTAATTCTTTCTGAGCACTTTTTTTTTTTTTTTTTTTTTTTTTCCCAACTACGGGCATATGTATTCTTAATGCTTGAATTACTGCATTCCATTTTCCTGTTTGTTTTCTTGACTTTATTTTTAACCAGTTTTTTAATGCATCAAATGTTTTAGGATTGGTGGAGGGATCTTCTTATTGAAGGTACTTATAAGGAGGCCGATCAAGGTGGAAAGATGGTTTTGCTGCTTGATATCCTCAAAATGTGCTCGAGTATGGGTGACAAGGCATTGGTGTTCAGTCAGAGCATACTAACATTGGACTTGATTGAACGTTACCTTTCAAAATTTCCTCGTTCGAAGAAAAATGGAAAATGTTGGCGAAAGGGGAAGGACTGGTACAGGTTAGTATAGTGGCAATTTATTGAAGTTCAAACCGGTACATTAATTTGAGTTGTTCTATTTTATTTTCCTAGTTCCTACTCACCTAACAATAGTGTAAAAGCTGAAGCGATCAATGATAATAATAATGTTGTCATCTGTCTTTATGTCATTATTGAGTCATCATAAATACAGATAAAATAACTGTTTTTGGTGTCTTTTCTAAATGGAGCAGCATGCTGGTTTTCAAATTATATCATAATAATTTTTTCCCTAAATTGCTTCTGTATTTTGGTATTTGGACCACGTGTTCTCCCTTTTCCTTTCTCTACTCTCATCTCTCTAGATTGCAATTGTAATTCTCCAAGACATTTCATAATTTTAATATAAAGTCCAAAACAAGTTATATATACAAAAAATCCAAAATAAGTTATATATATAATATATATACATATAAATGCATTGACACTATCTTGGGCGATATAAATACATGAAGTGAATAGTGATATACCCACAGGCCACAATCCTTTCGCTTTGTGATGGTACAGATGTATATGAGAAGAGCGTCTAAAAAATGAATAAATATCGGATTATTGTACCTTGCTTTCCAATATGCCCTTTTTGTTAGTTGATGCATCAGTTAAATGTTTCTCAGTTAGTATTGTTTCCTTCTGCACCCCGAACAGGTTAGATGGCAGGACTGAAAGTTTGGAGAGACAGAAAATTGTTGAAAAGTTCAATGATCCTTCAAATAGAAGAGTCAAATGCACTTTAATATCAACTAGAGCTGGATCCTTGGGTATTAATCTTCATGCAGCTAACCGAGTAATTATTGTCGATGGATCTTGGAATCCAACGTATGATCTTCAGGCTATATATAGGGTCTGGAGGTGAGAATGACATGTTCTCTTTAGTTCAATTTTGTGCTTACTGAGTTTGCATATTGTGAAAATTTGGATGATCGTGATTTGTAGGTATGGCCAAACGAAGCCTGTTTTTGCTTACCGGTTGCTCGCACACGCTACAATGGAAGAAAAAATTTATAAACGACAGGTAGGTGTGGTTCAATAATAATAATAATAATAATAATAATAATAATAATAATAATAGTATGTAGTTATTTTTAAAATTGCAAGCACACCCTTGGAATTTATTTCCATTTTCCGAATTGCACCTTTTTTGGGGTGAATTTATTTAATAAATCTTTAGAAGGTATTCCTGATTTTGGAAGAGAACTTAATTGTTTTTAGAAAAAAAAAAAATTGGTAAATTAAGTTATTCTGTAATTATTTTCCAATTTATTATTATGAAAGTTCCAAATATATAATACAACAGGTCACTAAGGAAGGCCTCGCAGCAAGAGTAGTTGATAGACAGCAGGTGCACAGAACAATGTCGAAAGAAGAGATATTACATTTGTTTGAATTTGGGGATGATGAAAATGTCGACATCATGTCTGAGTTGGCACAAGATATTGGAGCTGCTTCTGAACCAAACACCATTGGTCATGTTGGGAACTTATTGAAGCAGAAGACATCACTTCCAAATGGAAGTGCATCTTCGGACATTTTGATCGAAAATTTGATTAGCAGACATCATCCCAGGTGGGTGACTATTTCTCTCTCTCTCTCTCTCTCTCTGCATACTGCTACTAACTAGGAATGTGGTTCAGTACATTGATTCTCTTATGTTGGTAAATATAGTGTAGGCGTAATTACACGTTCTGCCTTGAAATTGCCTTAATTACAAGTAATCTCAATTTACTTTCCAAAATTTTAGCCACCTCTCTGGCATGCTTACGCTTTATGAATTCCCTCCTAATGTAAAAACCTTAATTCGATATGAATACTGCCAGTCTACCTCATTCATTAATTATAAGGTAACAAATAATAACTTTCATATGCAAACTAAATCTCAGGGTTAGTCTTTCATGAGGTAAAATAATGTTCCGGTTTGCAACTTTTGGACCATTTGGAGATTCTGTCCTATGAGTATCTTACTTTTTGTTTTTGTTTCAATATCTGTTGAAATATTTAGTCCAATTTGACTGGAATTATATAACATCAGCAATTTTCATTCAACACCGTACTAATTTCTGAATCTTAAAAAGAGATCAAACAAAGCCTTATGAGCCCCAAATTTAGATGACTACATTTTCAAGTAATGTAAACCAAGTTGAGACCAGAAAAGCAAATCCCCTTCTATTTTTTTTTGTCCTTTTCTGGGGTATTATTCCCATAATCAAAGACAGTGAACTCATTTTGCTCCGCAAGTAAAACTTCCTTTCTAGAGCACAAAAAAAAAAAAATCTAGATTAATCAATTTCCATGATTGATCAAGAACACTCATGAAAATGTGCACCCCTTTTTTTTTTATCATGCAGCTGGATTGCAAATTACCACGAGCATGAGACATTACTGCAAGAGAACGAAGATGAAAAACTGTCGAAAGAAGAGCAGGACTTGGCCTGGGAAGTTTACCAAAAAACCCTCGAGTGGGAAGAAGTCCGGCGAACCTCACCTGACGAGAACATACTCGAGCATCACAACAAAATCTCCACAGACGAGCCTCCTTCTCCAGTCGAGCAACCAGTATTTGTTCAGAAGCATTCTCATCATATTATTGTTAAAGAGGCTGCCCATAAACCGGACCCCACACTCGAACGGCTCAGGCAGCGCCACGCGTACCGTTATGGGCTGAGGCACTGCACGAACCTCTCGCACCTTATGACTTTGAAAAGTCAGAGGATAAAATTGGACGGTTACGCGATTTGTGGGGAGTGTGCTAAGGTGGTTCGTTGGGCGGACATCAAACCCGAGTCGAGTTACAATTTTTATGGGATTGAGGTTTAATGTTTTTCATGAGTTTGTTGGGTGTTTTGGTCTTGAAAGGTGAACTTTTCATCCNGTGAATATTGAATATATAGATATTAAGGTGGCTCGAGCAGACTGAATTTTCTTTACTGATATTTATTTGAGTTGTTTGTAATATGGGTCTACTGGGAAAACTGGGAGAGTTTTTTCTAATGCTAAAGGAATTTCAGCCACATTTGATCTCGATTTTGATGAGCTACTAACGTGTTTTATAGGTAAACCACGTGTTAAACGACCTGTTATTGTTACGAAAGTTGGTTTATGCACTATAGTAGTCCTTTTATTTTCGTGTTATTTGGCCCTTTTATACTTTTTTATTTGCATGGCGGATCATTTTTTCCTTTTTACTGCACAGCAGATTGAAATTGCGAGTGCGGAAAAGAGGCAGGCACGTATGAACATAATTACCGTGAAAATGAGTAATTGTTAAATAGAAATTAACAGGTGTGTAACATTATTGTCTTCCATTTAAATATTTTACTAGGAAGACGTGATTTGTAATTATTTAATGATGAAATCGTAATAAAATTATAGAAAGCAGTACGTGGAGAAATTATAATATTAAATGTAATGATGTTGATGTTTTCATAAAGTAACAAAAAATAATACATGAAGAAATTGCAAATTTAAAATGGTTTTTAATAGTGATATCTTCTTGTAAGTTAGATTTTTTCATTCAAAGCCATCTTCTTCCTCATGATGCTAATCGTGGTCTCATCATCATCACTTGAAATAACGATGACACAATTTGGGCGACAATACTCACATTGGAAGGTGACATCGTCATGAAGAAAGTCTTACATCATAGACATTAGAGCATCCACAATGCTTTAGGTCTCTTTTTTTATATGTGGCATATAATTGGACTTGGGTCTTAAATGACATGGACAAACCCAAATAAAAAAATTCAAAAACTTTGCAATGCAAAAATAAAAAGACTAGGTCTAGCATACATGCCAATCAATAGAAATGCTCTAATATATTTTATTCATTAAAAAAAATTAATTAAGAACAAATGATGAGTGTTTGGGTTTGTACTTGGGTCCAAAATAGACCCAAGTGTCGATTTGGTCTCTTTTTTTCATTGCCACATAAGCTAGACCATGTCCACTTTTAATTGCATTGGGAAGTATTTTTTTATAGACTAAGTCTATTTCCCATGTGACATGTAATTTTTTGTTAAGAGACCCAAAGCTTTGTGGGTGCTCTTATGATTTAGACTATGAACATGAGGTGTCGATGTGACTTTGGAACACGCATGGCACAAATGTGTTCTTGATGGGCAAAGAGTGCCGATTTAATGAAGGTTGCAAAATGGCAATGTATCCTCGAGTCAGCTGGTCAAAGATGCTTACAATGTCCACGTCAGCATTATTTATAGATTACTTAATTCAGATCGCCAGAAAATAAAAATATACATAACACGTTAGTGGCCACACATCCCATGTGTAAGCCGGCTAGGTTTCAATCGATCGAAAATTCAATCTGACCGACATCATTGTTAGGACAATTGTAGAGAAAATGACCAAAATAATTATACTTCTATAGGATGTTCCACGTTCCTTGTTAACCGGCTGCTCTCCCCTCAAAAAATGGTTTACCATCCCCTTAAGTAATTTCTATTTGACTTGTTGATCAACAAAAATCACTTGCTCCTTTTTACAAGAAACGCATCAAAACAAAATTACATTTGTATTTCCACAAGAATTAAAAGACACCACCCAGAAAAACAAGGAGAGAAGAAAAAAAAGATATTTGGCCTTTTTCATCAAATTTGGACTCCAATCGGGCCACGCTCGTCGTCCTGGGAAATAAAAAAATCAAAAAGAATAAAAAATCAGGGCGATGAGAAAAGTCATTTATTAATTAATTAATAATAAATGTATCGCGTTCCCTATCAGCTCCTGGAGCTGAACATTATCTCTGCCCAGGACCTCACCCCTCTCTCCAAGAACCTCCGCACGTATGCGGTGACGTGGATCAACCCGACCCGAAAGATAAAAACCAGGACCGATGAGACGGGTCGGGCCAACCCGACCTGGAACGAGAGGTTGGTGTTCCGGGTCAACAATCGGACCCTAAATTCGGAGACATCGTCCATGATAATCGAGATCTACGCGCAGGGATGGCTTCGTGATACGGTGGTGGGGTCTGTGACGGTGCTTCTCAGCAACCTGGTGCCGCCGTCGGTGAGAACGAGCTGCCGGCGGTTTGTAGCTCTCCAAATCAGAAGGCCTTCGGGCCGACCGCAGGGGATCCTCAATATGGGGGTCTCGCTTCTCGACAATACAATGCGGAGCATGCCGCTCGATTATCTGTTGATCACAACGAATAATTTGGATGGGAAGAAGAAGATCGGGTTACACAGATCTCAGACGGAATTAACTAGAAAACCGGGCGGCGAAAAGAAGCCCAGGGCTGATTTGGTTTGCGATGGCTCATTACCGTACAATCAAGGCACACTGCCCAACGCTCTCAACGGCGGCTCCATGGTGAATGGATCCGTTTGCAATTCGGACGTGGGGCCGTCCCCATCGGTGGTGGCGGCAGCTGTGGCGTGGGGACTCTACCCTACGCACCTCGGGCCGCCTCCAAAGCCCGGAAGCTCGGTGCTGGAGGATTGGGCAGTGGAGGAAAGGAGCACCGAGGGTGGTTTGAAATCAGAGATTGAGAGGTGGAAGATAGAGATCCCGCAGGCGCACGATCCGCGGATCGACGGCGGCAGGAGGAGGGGAACAGCCGCCGGCGGTCGATTGTGCACCTGCTTTGGGAACGCCTACGGTTGTGAGTTAACAATAGTGTGCGGTGCGAATAATAATCGCCGGAGGAAAAATCGGCATAGGCGTCAACAACACACGAGCAGCAAGGCTAGCGTGGCACAAGTGTAGTGGAAATTAGGGGAAATCACCTCCTCCTCACACACCCAATTGACCAACAAAGACAAAACTGTTGAAATTGCAGGCTTCGTTCAGGAAATGTTATGATGTGTTCTCTTTACAAGATAATTCTTAAATTATTAAGGGCGTCTTTGTTTACAAAATAATGTGCTCAAAGTTTTTTTAGAAAACGAATTTTTTTTGTTAATCAGAGTTAATTTTGAAAAATGTAGTATAATTAGTTGTTAATGGAATTTTGGGTTTATATGAAAATAATATTTAAAATAAAATAATTAAACTTTGATGTAAAAGTATGAGAGAGACGATGCGAAGTGATGGTTAGTTAAAATTATGTGAGTAGATGAATAATGAATTAAAGTTGATGTAATATGCAAAAATGTTTAGTTTGTACTATTTAATTATATGAATAATACTAACGATAGTAAAGTTGAATTAAAGTTGAGGGACAGCCCACTTGCCATGGCGTTTTGGAAGCTATTGTTACCGCCAGACCACGGGCGAGGTCTTTTCTGGCAGCCACTTAAGGTATGGGTTAGAAAGAATATACTCAAGTTTCAATTGGGTGCTTTTGATATATGGAATAGCATTTTCTCGATTGCGGTGTGGAGATTGTGGAAATGGAGGAATGAGCGTATATTTAAAAATATATCCCTAAGTATCGAGGCCAAGAGGATGGAAGTCGTAAGCCTGTCGGCTGGCTACATCCGTGCGGCGGCGGATTACACCAATGCTGGTGCCGCCACGTCCACCAATCGTATGATTCATTGGGCTCCACCGGCTCCGGGCTGGATCAAAGTGAACACGGACGGTGCGTTTGACAGTCTCACGGGTTTGAGTAGTGCGGGCAGGCTGCTCCGAGACGAAATGGGTAGATGGATCGGGGGCTTTCTATTCAATATTGGGAATTGTACCGTGACAGGGGCTGAGCTTTAGGGCCTATTTCAGGGGTTGCAGATTGCATGGGAAATGGGTTATAGACAAGTCGTTGTTGAAGTTGATAGTCAGAGTGTGACGAATATGGTCTCTAGGCCCGAAAGTGTTTTTGGGGTTCATGAAGTGATGATTAAGGCCATTCACACCTTAACTCGACGAGAGTGGAATCTTCAGATCCAACATGTGCATAGGAAAGCGAATTTTGCGGCTGATTACCTAGCGCGTTTGGCGGCATCATACCCGGTTGGACTTCAGCGAGTCTCTGACCCTCCCCCAGGGCTGGGAGAGTGGATCGAACATGATAATAGGGAGGTGTCGTACTCCCGACTAGTTCTAGCTTAGGCATTTGCCCACCTTCATTGTACCAAAAAAAGTTGAGTTAAATTTTGAGTATGCATTAAATGTGAATGAGATATTCTGTAAACAAGCACTCTCTAGGTAATTTGTGTTGTAAATATTTTTACCGGAGTAGAATCGAAAGATTCGAACACCGGGTCGTATCTCAAGGAGGGTCAGCCGGATTATTTGTACGGATATTCAATCACACGAGAAAGCAAATAAATTCTTAAAACACTCTAATTCAATGGTATTGGTTTTCAATTATCAACTACTAATTCTCAAACAATGCAAATAAACAATTAACAAAACTTAAAACGAGTTTCTTCTACGTACGAAGGCTAGGGAATCGGGGATGATTATACTCTAAACAAATTCGAACACCAAGCGAAAATCATTCGGCTAAATGATTCAATCAACCTACACATCTAGAGATTATTCCTCAATAACTTCTCGTAACAAGAGGAAAAATATAGACGACAAATTAAACCAATCAATTAACACGTAGGCTATACAATTACGAACAAGCCTACTCTAGTCGAGCCTGAATCGACCGACTTCTCCCCTTTCGGTTCTACAAGTCGATTAATTAGATCAGAATGGTGATCAAGCATCCAACCCTAGGTTTAAATCAACTCGAGAAGATTGAACAAATTTCACAGGTAAGATAAGCACGCGAGTACGAGTAATCACCCCCTATCCCTAGCTTAAGAATTTAGCCACTCATGCCAAGATGAACACAAGACATAGTATAAAGTAAATACTCCAAACTCATAATCAAAGTGAGAAGAAAACTTACGATAAATAAAAGTCAAGTGCTGAATCTCAAACACAATCCAAATTCACGATCAAAATCCTTGGGTGTCACTCCCAAAAATCTCAAAAATAAGCAAAGATAAAAGAGAACAATGTTTTTTGTCTGATAAAAAAACGAGAGAAAAAATGAAAGTGTTGACCTCTCCCTAAACCCTATGCTCGATCCTATATAATAGCGAACAGTTTCAGCATTCAAAAGATCAAACACCGCGGCACGTCGCTATGGAGGTCACGGCGTGAGAGGAGAAGTGCAGCGGCGTGTCATTTGCTCGCGGCGTGGGAGAAGGGAGTGTAACGGCGTGACGACTGCCGCGGCGTGACGACTGCCGCGGCGTGACGCGATGGAAATCCCAACTCTCTGGCCAGTCGTGGAAGTCGCCGCGAGGAGTGCCGCGGCGCGAGCTGCAGATAAACCACGGCGCGGGAGTTATCACGGCGTGGAGACTGAAAGGGGACCTTCTGAAGGCTCGTGAAAGGTCTCACGAGATGTTCCGCGGCGCGAAAGGAGTGAAGTGTCGCGGCGCGAGATTCGCTGCGGCGTGGCAACCGGGAAGACTCGAACGTGCATGCGCTTTGTAAGCTTTGTAAAACCGGGACAACTCGACTTGACAAACTTCGAACACTTAGTCAAAATCCGAACCTGCACACCTCCAAAAACAAGAATAACACCCGAAAAACAGAGGAAACCAACGAATATACAAAAAATAACGAAATAATAGCAAAGACACGAAATAATCGACTGCAAGACCGAAAATCCTATCGAAAGACCTAAATCGGGGGCTAAAAACCTATAAACCAATAAGGAAAAAGATAACAAAAATAGGACAAACAATTTGTATAGTCATTAAGAAAATCTATAATGTTCAAAAGTGATGATTAGCTCATAGTTGTGCGGCGTAGAAATGCCTTGTAGGTCCTCCACTCCGAGTTTAAGCGTCACCTCGGACTTATATGACTTTTACCTCTACGACCTCGTTGGCGATCTCATTCTCGCGATACGTCCTTCTTCTCTCATTGTGGGAGTCCCCATCAGTGGGACTTCTTGCAATCATTTGATCCATTCTTTTCTTGACCGGCTTGTCTTCCTGTTCGTTAGGACATCTCTGTTTCTCTCTGACATCTCTGTCTATCTTTTGCTCTTTGTCCTTAAAAACGAACTCTTTAAGGTGTCCGACTCGGATGAGCCATTCAATCTCGTCCTTCAGCTCTCTACAAATATTGGTCGAATGTCCATAATCCTTGTGGTACCCGCAATACGCATCACTCAGTGTAGGTACGTAACCCCTCTTTTTATGGAGGGGTTTAGGTCGAGAGAGAATTATTGCATCGCCCCGCTTCTCAAGGACCTCAAAAACCTCCCTTTGAAGCACGTTCAAGGGCATGTAGCTCCCATACTTGTTCCATACTCTAGGACGATCCTCCAACGTAGACTTTTTATTCCGGGATTTTGTATCATTTGAGCAAGGTTTATCTTCTACTCGCTTAGCTTTGGCCTTGTCGTTCTGTAAGAAGTCGGCCTCGACCTCCTCCATGTTTACATATTTGCTGCACATTTCCGTCGACTCGCAAACTGATTCATAAACAAGGAGACAAACCTCTTGAAGTTGTGGATCGACCTGGCCAGCATCTGGTGGAACCAGTCATGTGCTGACCTTTTAAAGGCATAAAGGCTCTACAGCTGATGGCGTCGCTATACTTGTAGAGAACTGCTATGTTCTCAAATGAACTCAGGTACATAGCAGGATCAGTTGAGCCATCGTAAGACAAACTCAACTCATGGATATTGTTAGGCAGGTCCGCTTCCAAAACTTCCTTGGCAAATGGGTGACCACGGACTTGAGGTGCCGACCTTCCTTGGACTCGAGCCTGCAACTCTCGCAGTCCTTTTGATAAGCGCTCAAGTGCAGCATCTTGGGTAGGCTATGACATGGTCGTTTGCAATGTAACTGACCTGATTTCTCCCTCTTTTAGTCTTCTTGGGGTTGCGGTTGCGAGTGTTGTGGCACAACCAAAGCTTGTTAAGTAGGTGCCCGAGCTCGATTTACAGCTTCAACCACAATCCTATCTAACTCCGCCTGGTAAGCTGGCTAACCTGGTCTTCCGTGGGGGCCTCCTGTTTCTCGAGGTGCACAAGCTGACCTCTTGCTTGATCCTGAGGTTTTGATTGGCTCCTGAGCCTTCATGTTGGTGTCCTTCTTTGTCTTGTGTCATCGTTTGGTCTAAGATTTATTGACATCTCTCCTATTGCTGGTTTTGCTCTGTTGTAGGTCTCCCAGACATACCCGACAACGACATTACTGCCGTATGAGGCGCCGACAACGTCTCTCGTGGCGTGACGAGAGTGTCGGCAGACTGTGACTAGTCCGAAGGAGGGGCCAGTCCCAAACACTCTCCTTGTCCATGCCTCATCCAATTCTTTCGTCAGATTCTTCTTGGAATTATCGTCTGCCATGATCTTCGACTTCTTTTTTTTTTTTTCTTTTATGTGAGAAAAAACCGATCAACCTCTTATTGCCGGTAGAAATACAATAGTTTGTCCTACAGACGACGTCAATTTGATATGTTGAACCTATTGAATCGCGAAGCACGAACATTATACACAAATATATTTTCTTAATAATTATTATGCATAATTTTACAGAAAAGAGTACCATATTTAAAATAATAACATAAGGAAAAGTATAATAATATTCACCATGTAAATTTACATTTTTGTTCAAAATATACAAGGGAATAATCGTGCATAACTTTTTTTAAATGTTGTAAAATTTTACTCTATCCAATTCAATTTTACTTTCTACTCCAAACATAAAAAAGCGTTTGTTGTGGTATATACCCTCACCCATGAATCTCCTATTTTCTTGTAGCAATCAAAAGAGCAAACAAACTCCACTCTTTCCATTCCCACCTTCCATTTCCCAAACACCACCAATAATAGTGTACCTTAAAATCCCATTTCATGCATTTTCTCTCTTCCCTCCTCGTCTCCCCGGGACCGGCCACAACAACAACAACAACAAAAAAAGAAAAGAAAAAAGAAAATGCGGGCCCCACCGTCCTCCTCGTCCTCCCTTAAACTCCTGGAGCTCAACATCATGTCTGCCCACGACCTTCCCCCTGTCTCCAAGATGCTCCGCACGTTCGCTGTCGCTTACATCAGCCCCGACCACAAGCTGACCACGCGGATCGACCACACGGGCCACACGAGCCCCACTTGGAATTACAAGGTGGCTTTCCACGTGGACGACCTGTTGTTGAAGAGCGAGTCCTCGGCCGTGACGATTGAGATCTACAATCTGGCCTGGCTTAGAGACCTCCCGATTGGGACCTGCCACCTCATGATCAACAGCCTGTCCAAGAACCCGGGTTTTAGGCGGGTCGATCTCCGAGTTTGCCGCCCGTCAGGTCATTTGCAAGGGACTCTGCACGTCGGGGTCCAGCTTGTGGCCCCACCACGTGAGGAGTTTGGAGTTACAGTAAAAGGTCAAGAGCAGGAAGAAGAAGAAGAAGAAGATGAAGAACAACAACAACAATATTTACATTTACAGGTGGTGGAGAATCATATTTTTAATTTCGTCGGTCCCACGAAATTGATTCTGTGTCTTAATAGTGGATTATCTGCACTAATCTACATGTGTATCTAAAGACTAATAATAATATACAAAACTGTTGATTAATTTCATTATCCACATAACAAATTATGGCATGCAGGAGCAAGACAACATGAATCCTAGGCTGGCAGAAGACACGTCCATCAGCAGGACGACATCAGGGCCCGGATCCGAGCCCGAAATGAGAACGCTCGCCGCCACCTCAGCAGGGGGTTCTTTCTACTCCGTCATGCGGCCTCTGCCGTCTGAGGTGGCAGCAGATTTGAAAAGGGGGCTCTATTCGGCGGAATGGAACGACTACGGGAGTTCGGTTTTCGAGGGATGGACAGAAAAAGGCGACAAAAGCAACGAGGAACTGAAAGTGGGGCCCACTGAGGACCGGTGGCCCGTGGTGGAGGACCCCATCGTCTGCCTTGCGGCGCCACCAGATAATAAGAGGTTCGTGGGCGGCCGGCAGTATCGGAAGAGAGTACGTACCGAAAACAAGAAAAGAGGGCTTTTCTCGTGTTTTGGGAATGCCTACGGGTTTCAGTTCAGCATCTTTTGTGGGTCGAAGCCGTTGAAGAAGAAGAAGATGAAAAAGGGGAAGAGGAACGTGAACAAACAGAACATACATTTGGTCACTCTTTCCGAGGATAATCAGCACAGGTATTATGTCTGACGTTTTATTTTATTTTTTTCTTTTGTGACGTCAAATGTGTGTCTTAGTTATGGAGAGATTTGAAAATCTCTGTCAAATTTGATTCGATTATGTTTTTAAGGCTGTTTGTCACATTATGTAATATTTTTTCTTTTTCTTTTGGTAGCACATATCACTCGAGATCAATAAGTCTTGAATTTGAGTCGAGGATAAATGAGAAACCACTATTGATTCTCTTAAAAGAAAAAAAAATCAAAATAACACTGTCATCACAACATGCTTACAATATATTCAGTAGTTCTTTCCCACGAGTTTTTAACTTTGGACAACGAGATATAAGTAACAAGAACCAACCTTTTAGGGTTAGTTACACTCATATATATCTAATAATAGGTATCATTTCATCTTACCGTTAGATTGATCAAAACAACAAATATCAACCTTAAATTAAATATAAGAGAGAAACAAATATGTTAAATGTCTCGCACACCTCGTATTACACCAATACTTTAATTTAAATTCTAATTAATTTTAATTTAAGAAAAAGAAAAATATGTTTAATTTCAGACCCATGTCGACCTTGCAGATCTTGGAGTCAAAATAAAAATAATTAAAAAATGTGCATGGCTTGTTTAAGTAAAAGCATAGGGAGTGTCAGATCAGATCATCTCGCCGTCATTGGCCACTACATTAGACGCTACTCGTTGGTCGTTGCCATTTAACAGTAATTTCAACAAATTACATATTATTTCGAAGTCTCGACTCGATCATTCCTATGATATGTTTAAATTCATATTATAGTATCTCAAACTTTGTTAAATCATTGTTAATTACAATATCTCGATCATTCCTATCATTGTTAAGTACAATATCTTGATCATTCCCAGAAATATCTCTCATCTGGTTATAATGCAATTAATTTAAAAAAATATTTCAACAAATTCAAAATAAATATTGTGTCATATCTGTATTCTATTCATTTCTAAAATTTGTCTTATCTCGTAATAATTAATGATATCATATATATATGTATGTGTGTGTGTGTGTGATTTTATGACATTATTAATTATTTTGAGCTTAAAAATAAAATTAGTAATTAGACAGTATTATCGGTGAATTTTTTGGTAGAGGACTTTTAATTAGAGTATTGAATTTTATGATAGAAGATATTAGCTCAAAATATTGTTTTGATTTATTTTAAATCAATTAACCATTTACAATTGTTAATATAACAAAACTAATCGAACTAATTCACATTTCAAAAAGGTATTGTAGTTATATAAATTTCGACAACGAATTGTGTGTGATTTTTCCTAAAAGTTAACTAAATTTCACACAATTGTGTAGTCGGGATTTTTCAAAACTTTATCTCACGAAATGATTTAAACAGTCCATATAAATTAGATTCTTTCCAAATTGTAAGAATGTATAAAAAAGTTAACAAAATTTCACACGATTGTGTAGTAGGGATTTTTCAAAAATAATATGTATTAATTCTTGAAAATATGAGTAAATAGATAGTATTATCGGTGAATTTTATGATAAAATTTATTTAAATGGAGTATTGAATTTTACGATAAAATATATCCTCAAGATATTGTGTTTGGTTTTTAAATAATTAACAATTTACAATTGTTAATGTATAGAAAATAGAAAAATAACTAGGGCTTAAGCACTTTTTCTCTCTCCGCTCTGCAATTCGAAAACCTAATCGCTCAACCTCTCTCTGCAATTCGCCGCCGATAGTCTTCCCCGGCGACGGCGGGGCTTGGCCAGCGGTCGCCTCTGACTGCTCGTCCCGCCTCGGTCGTCGTATGCCCTGAATTGCTGCGACTCTGATGGGTCGCTACCCTCCATTTGATGGCGATGTGGAGTCTCGTGGAGCCGCTTCTCTGGTTGGAGGCTTGTCGGCGAGAGGTGGGGCTTTCTCAGCCTCCGGCGGCCCTTCAATCGGTGATGGTAAGCTCTTCCCTCTCTGCTCTGCTGTCTTTGGAGTCACTGTTGGTGGGTGCCGTTCTTCACAGCGGAGCTTCCAGCGGGTGGTGGTTGGCCGGAGTTCTACGGTGGTGCTCGGCGGTGTGTGGGTCCGAGGATGGGGGAGACCACCGACTGCTGCATCGTGGCGATCGGGGTGGATGACCCGTACCACCTACCTCCGCCCCGTTTCGGCTAGTGGTGTTAGGCGGAGGGGGGCTGGAATCCTAACTTTCTTGAACTCGGCTAGTGGTGTTAGACGGGTTCGAGAGGTGAGGGTCGGGTTTGGTTGATCGGGGTTCATTCGGTTGGTGGTGGATCGATTCAGGGATTGGTTTCGGTTTCAGTTTCGGCTACTGTATAGGCGGTTGCGCAGTTTCGGTAGTGGTTTCTCGGGCTGGGACTTTCCTTGTGTCGGTTGTCCATTGTTGGTTCGGGCTAGCTTGTTCGCTGGGGAAGGGCTGTTAGGTTTATTTTAGTTTTTTTGTTGTTGTCGTTTTAGTTTATCTTAGTAGGTCTGTTCTTTTGTTATTGTTATTGTTCTGTTTGAGTGTTTTTGGTTTGGGCCGTTGGCCTCTGTGCGCCCGGGTGTCAAATTTATTACTCCGTGGGGGTCCGACACTCGGGTATTACTCCGTTGGGGGTCTTGTTTAGTTTTGTTGGTGTAGTTGGTTTAGTGTGGTTGTGTTTTTTTGTTGTTTTAGTGTGTGTTGCCCGAGTATTACCCCGTTGGGGTCGGCTCTAGGCGATCTCTGGATCTGCCTCCCAGTTTTCCAGTCTCTGGTTGTACTATTCAGCCTTTGGCTGCTTTTCTTCGCACTTTGTGCGATTTTATTAATATAGTACCTCTATCGTTTTGGAAAAAAAAAAATGTATAGAAAATAATAGAAAAAATCCAAATTTTAAAAAGGTGGTGTTCCATGTGTTTTTTTAAAAAAAAAAATCAACAAAATTTTAGTCGAGATTTTCCAAAATTTTATCTAAAAAATAATTTAAACAATCCATATAAATTTGAATTCTTTCCAAACTGTACTTTGGATTCTTTACAACTGTAATAAGGTGTTGAAGTTAAATAAATATGGACAGACGTGTGATTTTTTGGAAACATTTGTTTCATCCATTGCATAGGCGTTTTTTTTTTT